TTTGTATCAGAATTCTGCTGTGTGTTTCCATTTCTTTTGGTGTTTTAAAAATAATTAAAATAATCAGAATAATGTTTAGAGGATAACCAAGTAATAAACTCCCCCAATAATCCCATCCAAGGAAAATATCAATTAAATTTGACATTTTTTATTTATTTTAATTTTTAAAAATTTTATAGTAAAATAAAGTAAATTAATTAATAAAAAAATTTTTTTATTAAAAATTTTCACGCTAATTACTTTTAAAAATACAAAAAATATTCTTGGGAAAATTTTGTTTACATTCTAACAAATTTCTGAGTAACGTCACGAAAGTGTATTAAGTACACAATACCCCAATCTGCAGGCAATGCCTTATTAAAAAATATTAGAGAAACAATATCGTTGTTGTCAAGACGCTTGAGCAAAACCCCGAACTTTGCTTTTATCTGACGAAGTCTTTTATCAATGTATTTCGATCCGAAATGACAGAAGGTAGTTAGTGATTTTGTGTCATTCATGTGGCATCAATCTACACTTTCTAACTTGTGGTAAATGTCCAGCTCGTGGCCTATATGTCCTTTTGCGGACATGTAGCCACGAGCTGGACATTTACCCCAACTTGTTTCTTGCTTCATGTAAAGTTTTTGTATGTGAGCAGGTGAATTCCTGCCTTAAAATTCAAATTGTAATTTTGTATTGGCTACTATTCTGGCGAGAACGGCATTCATATCTAACGTTGTTAACCGAAAATAACAACTTTATATAAAGAATATTTGTCAATTTTTTGTCAAATTTTATCAAATAAAGACAATATTAATGTAATTCGATGGAATAATTCTGTAAAATTTTTTATTTTCTGTAAATAATTCTGTAAAATCTTTTTGACGTATAATACAGAAATTATTGTGGATGTATTCTTAAACGATTTAAAACAGCTTCTTTGTAGGGCTTATTAGTTATTATACAAACAATTGGGTTAAAAACAGGTACAAAATGATTAAAACACGAAAGAAATATATAGACAATTAATTTGTTGTTATAAATTAAAATTGTATTAGTATCTTGTGAATTATTTATTTTATTATTGTATTTAGTGAAAATAGTTAATATAGCTAAAAGTTGATTAATAAATGGAATAATTGTCTTAAATTTAAATAAAATTAATAATCAAAATTAAATAATTTACCAAAATTATCAAAGTTATTGTCAATTGTTTAAGTAATCTCTTCATATTTTGATCAAATCCAGTATGTGAATTAACATAATAAACCATTTTAAATCCACAAATAAAAATTATTAAATAGGAAAGTATCATGAGGAGAGTTGTAAATAATGAAGGAACCCCTTGCTTCAAAAATATTTATTGAAATAATGATATTACTTCGGCTGACAACCCCACCCACCTTTTCTGGTTTCTCTGACCATTATGAGCTTTTTTGCTTGATATATACATAATTTATTATATATCATTCGAAAGAGCTGTTTGAGCTGGGTTGAACGATACCATGATCGATTGGATTCGATCAATAGAAACAAAATTATGATGCTGAATACTCGATGGAAAGACCTTTTGTGCCGTTACAAGGGGTTTTAATGTCATAATTAAGTTGATTCAGGTCAGATTTCGATGAGTTTACCGCCAATCAACTCAGCTCGAAGAGCTCTTTCGATTGATATATATTTTCCATAAAAATGAAGTAAAGCAGCTGGCTATAGCTATTTCTCTCCTTTAGGCTACTGCAAGAGGTTAATCGATGCTGAGGCGAAACAGCATCTTCAGTAGACCGGACTGATGTGTTAGCCATTACACCAAGCCGCCTATTGCATAGCCCTAGGAAACGAATAGCTATATGCTTTACAATGAAAAAATAGAACGGAAAGGAGGGGGGTAGCCGAATTATTACCGAAATACTCTTTAATTCCATAAATTCAATACCTCATATTTTATAGTAACAAACGGAAAAGTTTTGTTTAAATATTCTTCATCAAACTGTTTAATACCTCCATCAACAGTATATTGCATACCGCAGAAAATACTTATCAGATTATGTGACAATCCAACAATCACAACCGTCGAGAACATATGCATTAAATAATGTTTAAAGTTAATTTTCATGTTTCTGTTTAATTTTTAAATTAATTCGGATTAAAAATTTATTGTGATTTACTTGTTCAAAATTAAATATCTGTAAACAAATTGGGCACACATTCCATACAAATTTAAACTATAATAAAACCCTCCAAAATATAAAAAACTGAGGTAAATAATTTTGTTAAAATTATTCTTCATAAATTCAAGGAAAATGCCCCCAGTAAAAATATAAACTGAATTTCCACTGTCGTCAAGTATATACAACTTTATGTTAAAAATTCTGATTTTTTTTTAATTTTTTAAAAATTCTAACTATGTTTATTTAATTTAAATTTGTGTTTTGATTAATTCTGGTTTATATCTTTAGTAGCTCCCAAAAAGTCATTCCTGCTCAATGGGACTTTTAGAAGCCGTGGGATTAAATAAGCTTAAGAATGATTGAACGGGATATCGTGTGTGTTTAGAATTTTAATTTTGCTCGACTTCGTACCTGCCTATTTTTGAATTCGTGAGCAAGCCAAGATACCGCGAGTCAATACAGCAGAGCTAGCATTTTGTTCAAATTTAGAACCCGGGACGCTCTGGTATGATTTGATTCAGCTCGTCGAGGTGCATCGACCCGGTCTACACTGCAGTACATTGGCCTCGTGGCACCTTGGGGCAGAAGTGGGTCGGAAATGACGAAGGTGTCGGAAATCGGAACTGCCAGAAATCGGAAATGGCTCAAAAGATGGAATTCGGAAATCGTAAGGGAAAAAACGTCGGAAATCTGAATTCAGAACCCACATCTGCCTTGAGATATACATATGGCCTCGTAATAGTATCTTGTACTACTCGTACTAAAGAAAAGTACGAGTACAAATTTTGATGTGAACTTATAAAAACTTAATATTAGTTAATTTTTAAAGATATCGAATCCTTTATAAGTTCCCAATATTTCTTTGTCGGAAAGTAATATTATCTGAAACCTTCCGGAAATAATAACTCTGATTTATTAGCCTTTTCTTTTAGAAAAGAATTTAATTTTGTTCAAATTTAATTTTGGTCTATCCAATGTTTTTACCACTTGTGCGAACATTACATATGTTAGGAACAAGATATCCAAAACACAATTTTGTATCAGAATTCGACTGTGTGTTTCCATTTCTTTTGGTGTTTTAAAAATAATTAAAATAATCAGAATAATGTTTAGAGGATAACCAAGTAATAAACAAACAAAATAATCAAATTTAAATATATTATCAAGTAAATTCGACATTATTTTATTTTAATTTTAAAAGAAGTATAATAAAAAATTAATTTGAAAATTTTTATTAAAATGTTTCACTCACTAAATAATTTTTAAATATGACAAAATTTAAAAATATTTACATTAATACTATTTATCTAAAAAAACATTTTTGGGAAAATTTCCTTATTTTAATTAAATTCGTGAGATATTATTAATTGACGACTTTGGTGTTTGTTCTTTAAAGCGTGTCAGGGCAGAACTTCGAACGGACACGACTTCGACCGACAAAACTCTGCCGGACAACATTTCGTCTACCAACACTTTGGCCGACCAAAACTTCGTCCAAAGAGAAAAATATGCGTTTTCAACAGCTTGGGGTTATTTTGGCGGGAGCAGTATTGCTTATTTATTTAAATCGACAATTGGATTTTTTCGGTACCGGTAGCGAAACTAGCGAAAAGAATCGATGCGAAAAAGTACCCAAATTTTCCAAAATCTGTTCTTGACGTTTTCTGCAGTACTTTCCGGTGCTACCGGTATAATAAAATTTAAAATTTAAAAGTTTTAAAACAAGCTTTTATTAAAAACCAGAATTAATTCAAAACAAATTCTGGTTTTAATTGTAACATTGTTCTAAATTTATTTAAAATTTTATACGTTAATTTAGTCCGATATTTTTTTCATCCAACTTTTATAATTTTTTCAAATATAGGAGAGTACTATTTTAGGGGGAGGGGGGTGAGGATTAAAAAAAACAAACAAAATAATCAAATTTAAATTACCAAGTAAATCAGACAATTTTTTAATTTTTAAAAGTTTTATAGTTAAACAAAGTAAAATTAATGTATTAAAAATGTTTCACACTAATAATTTTTAAAAATACAATTTTTCAAAGGAAATTTTTTAATAAAAATCGTGAGATATCTTGACATGAAATTAACTTGTTTACTTATAAAGTACATTAAAGAGTCAAGATACAATATAAACAAAAAAAGGATAATTACAAAAAAATTACGAAAAATATTGTCACAATTTTTATTAAAATGTTCATCTAGCTTTTAATATGTAGTTCTGATTCAGAACTAGAGACCGGATCGATACGATATATCGATGTCGATATTATCGAACGATCACTAAAGTCCGGTCTCTAGTTCTGATTACTATATCAACATTTTTAAATACCGTATTTTCTCGATTAATTCCCCTCCCTCGAATAATTCCCCCTCTCGATTAATTCCCCATGCTAGAGTTGAAACAATAATTCCCCACCCACAAATACCCTAATGCACGTTCAAATGCCAAAACTCCAATAATTCCCCTCCCTCGAATAATTCCCCATCCCACGCATGGTTGAAATATTAATTCCCCAGGGGAATTAATCGAGAAAATACGGTATGTATATTAACTAGAGCCCGGATCGATACGATATTTTTTCGATATTTTTCGATATATATTTTTCGAATTATCGAAAAAATATCGACCGAGCCCTCCGTCCGGGCTCTAATATTAACATTTCTCTTATTAACATAAAATAAAGTACCGTAAATGATGATTAAAAATTTAATTTTATCTAGAAAAGAAGATTGAAAAATACAAGCCCCGACTCTAATAGAAGCCCAGTCTCCAATATAAGCCCACTCAAAGTGATCTTTGAAAAATATAAGCCCAGGGCTTATATTAGAGCATTTACGGTATTTATTGTGGATGTATTTTTAAACGATTAAAAACAGCTTCTCTGTATGGCTTATTAGTTATTATGCAAAAAATTGGGTTAAAAACGGGTGTAAAATGAGTGAACATTACAAGAAATATACAAATGATATTTTTGCTATTCTCATTATTCGAAGGTTCATTGTTGAATTTAAATAATATAACTAATAAAGCCAAAAATTGGTTAATGAATGGAATAATTGCCTTAAATTTAAATACTTGAATAAAATAAATTGTATAAGTATACCAAAATTATCAAAGTTTTTGTCAATTGTTTAAGTAATCTCTTCATATTTTGATCAAATCCAGTATGTGAATTAACATAATAAACCATTTTAAATCCACAAATAAAAATTATAATAAATGGAAGTAGTATAATTAGAATCATAATTATTGATGGCAAATCTTGCTTCAAAAAATACTATAAATTAGACGCTCGTTCATCCCTTGTTCAACTTTCCCTCTTACTTCGGGAAAATTTGTAATAGTTGTGGCTCCTGAGCCTATTATTTCTGTCCGCTCTATATTACTTATCTATATTACTCGACCCAAACCAAATTTCATAGTTGGATTTGGGTGGAATAGATGGCTCCTGAGACGCTCTAAAGTCAATACCTCACAGAAATGCCTTTGCGGACATATGGGTCGCGAGCTGGACATTGACCCACTAGTCCATATCTCCAGTGATTAAGTATAAAGAAAGGCTGTGGTTTTTGTATCTCACGCCATCCTAACACTAATACGTATATTTTAAAATAATTCTGATACCGTTGATTTCATGATAATAAATGGCAATGTTCTGTTAACTTCATCAAGCATTTTAATGCCTCCATCAAATGTGGCAAAGAAAATAAAAAGCAGATTATAAAACACACCAACTAGTAACACACTCGAAAACATATATAGATAGCGTTTAAAGTTTGGTTTCATGTTTCTATAAATTTATTTTTGTATCAATGACATATTCTGAGTAAACTTTAGGTTCTATTACACAATATACGTCTAATAGACTTTTATACATCCTATCACACTTCATGCGGCCAATCAAAAAAATGGATTTTTCCTGGTGTTGCAAACTTAGGGTATGGTTCCAAAACATTTCTTCATGATCAAACCTGGACCTCGGAACTAGGTCTTGGACCGTTACTTACCCTATCCCTCGAAATTTATATAGCCAATTTTTAAAAATTTCAGAAAAACGATTTTAACTTTCATAAATTTCGAGTGTAGGGTAAGGAACGGTCCCAGACCCAGTGGGCTTTGGTCCCGAAAATGAAGAAATGTTTTGGAACCATGCCCCCAATTTAGCAACACCAAGAAAAATTCTATTTTTTTATTGGACTCATAAAGTTGATTGGACTTATAAAAGTCGATTGGACATATATTGTGTAATAGAGCCAAACTTTTTTGTGTTTTACCTGTTCAGAATTAAATATCTATAAACAAATTGGGCACACAATCCATACAAATTTATAATGAAAAAAAATTGAACAATAATTACAAAGCTTGTACAGATAATTTTGTTGAAATTATCTTCCACAAATTCAACAAAAATGCCGTTAGTAAAAATAAAGACTGAATTTGCATTGTTGTCAATTATAACAAACTTAATAATGTTTAAATTTAAAAATCTTACAAGCAGAAAATCAGTATAAAACCGGGTTAACTGTCTTTAAAATACCGTATTTATTCTATGTAATTGAATGGCCCCTCCATTTGAATGGCCCTCTAATTGAATGGCACTTTTTTGAGGGTATCGAAAAATAGAATGGCGGCCATTATATTAGAATAAATACGGTATATTTTAAAATATTTTATCCAGTATTAAATTTTCGGAAAAATTTGCTTTGAGCCCCCATACCGTATATCCTTTAATAACTACACTGGGTAATTATTGTTTCGACCTTCCGTTGGAGGGAGTAATTAATTGAGGGAGGGTAATTATACGAGGTTTGAAATTTGAACGTGTTTTAGGGCATTTGTTTGGGGGTAATTATTGTTGCAATCTATCGCTGGATGGGGTAATTAATGCAATTGGGGTAATTAATTGAGGGAGGGCAATTAATACAGATTATACGGTATTCTAAAATTGACAAATTATATGTTATTCGAATGGCGTGACGAGCTTAATCAAATAAAAACGTTTACCACTTGAATAAACATTTGAGAAGTTAATACTAAAATATCCAAAACACAATTTTGTATCAGAATTCTGCTGTGTGTTTCCATTTCTTTTGGTGTTTTAAAAATAATTAAAATAATCAGAATAATGTTTAGAGGATAACCAAGTAATAAACATCCCCAATAATCAAATTTAAGGAGAATATCAAGAAAATTGGACATTATTTTATTTTAATTTATTAATTAAATGTGGCTAAATCTCCTTTTTATGCTTTAAGAATTTTTGCTTTAATATTTTTTCAGTGAAAAAAATTTTTTTTTAAAATATTTATTTAAAAGTAAAATGTCGCCTAATTAATTTTAACATTTTCACCTGCCATTTACTTAGAGTCCCTTTAAGATAAACAAAAAATTTTTTTCTATATAATTATTAGAAGCAGATTGTTTTACTTTTATCTGCCCACTCTTAAAATTGCCAACTTTTAATAAAAATTAATTTAAAAAAATTAAATTCTGACAAATTTTAAATTTTTAAATGTAAATAATGTTTATCTTACTTGTTAATTTGCAGGTGAAAATTTAAAATTTTTATTTAAATTCTTAGAAATAAAAAAAAATTCTAAGCATTGTTTAAAGCTATACTGTGTCCGACAAATGAATTAGAAAACTAAAGTGAGGATTAAATTGTTACGACCCGAAGTCTGTCCGAGATTTAACTAATTTCGACGAGCACAAGAATAGCACTTTATCCAAAGTAGAAATGTACAGTGAAGGCGAATGGAATGGGACAGACGAAGGAGATCAGTGACTAGCCCCGCTAGTATGATCCAACTAGACTGCCGCTTTCACTGGCTTTTATAGTGAATACTTTAAGGGCTGACGCCCATACACAACATAAATAATCAAAAGCAACATGAGGCTGTCCGGGGGCTGTCCGGTTATGTCTGAGGGGTGTCTATTGTTGATGTGCACAAGAATAACAGTTTATCCAATGTGGAAATGTACAATGAAGGCGAAGGTGGAAAGGGCTGGAACAGACGACGGAGATCAGTGACTAGCCCCGCTAGTATGATCCATCTAGTTGGAATGAATAGTGCTTATCGAGGACTTTCGAATGATATAAGATTCATTCAGATTGGACTAAGCATAAAAAAGTTATAGACAATCAAATTCGGAAAAAATAGGGGCATAGTATAATAAAAGTGTACCGGAAGACTATTAAAAAATATAGTCCACTATATAATTTTTATTTTAAACTCAAAAATTATTTACTATTAAAAAATCATCAAAAAATATTATGTACAGTGCGTTTCAAAAAGATGGCACATCATGTTTTTCCGACATAAGTCAACGGAAAAGTGTCTATTTCGTTTGAAATTTTTTCTGCAATTAGGTTTGATCAATAAAATGCTATTAAAAAGACCCTAACGAAAAAACCATTTTTTAAAAATTTTTTATATAAAATAATTTTCAATTTTTCACTGTTTCAAAAAGATGGCACATTTTAAATTTTGGACATTAGTGCTGGTCTAAAAAATCTACAAAAATTCCTTTAAACATATCTATTGATGTCGATAGAAAATACAAAAGAAACGAAGTTCTAATATACTTCAGTCATCAAGATATGAAAACCCGGAAATCAACGTAAAACAGGGTTAAACGTTTTTAAAAAAATATTTCGACTCCTTAAACACTAAATTAAATTTTTATTTTATATAATATCACAAAAAAATTTGATTTTCAAAAAAAAATAAATTATTCACATTTTAAACGAAAAACGTCTTCTTCATATACTTTTGGCATATTTCCCCAATAGCCTCTAAAATTTAAATAAAAATTTTTTAAATAAAAAAGGCTGCCTGTATCTAAGTATCATAAAATCGAGAGATAAATAACTCAAATAACTTCCAATTCCGTAATCAAAAGTTATGGTTAACCAAATTACATAGCCGGCAGCCTGTTGAAACCCGTCAATGAAGCCTTTTCCCCAAATAAGTTGAAATGCATTAATTGTGATTATGAGGGCGTATAGAGTGAATAATAAGGTTCTGAAAAATGTTTGAAGAATTATTTTGGTGAAAATTTAAATTGTTTTTTTGTTCTTTCTCCCTTATGCAAAATACAGTGTCTACTTTTTATATACCTAGTGTTCGGGAAAATGCCTAAAAAATGCGAGTCTTTTTGGATATTATTGGACATCCCCTTTTTGGATACCCCCCCCCCCTCTACTCAATCTAGTTTGAGTAGCAGTTATTCTTTCCTTCTTCATTTTTGGTCATACAGTGTGCCAAGAAACTATGTATAAGACCACCTGAAATTTCCACCCCCACGTTTTGAAATTAGGGTTGTTCAAAAAATCTACAAAAATTTCTATAAACTTATTGATATGAAAAAACACTAAATTTACACGCTTGATGAAAATAGATGATACGCATAGAGAAAAGAATAACTTCAACTCAAATTAATTTAAGCTTATTTTATGTCTATTCCGGTACAGGACGATTCATTATCGTTACCATAAACTATTAAATCGGTTAGGAATCAAAAAGTTATAGCCCAAAAAATGCCCCAGATATTGAATCGGCGTACTTAATCCTCTCTCGTTCATTTTTTCAAATGACGTCTATACGAGACTCAAAAGTCCGCAAAATTTTTGCGGACACAAACAAAATCCGCAAATTTTTTGCGGACACAAACTTACCTAATAAAATAGATTGCCATACAAATAATAGCCAATTTATGATGCCATTCAGCACAAACATGTGAATATAAACACAATAACTTTAAATAAATTTTAAAAGACGAAAAAAATTTTTTCCTTACAATTCTTAAGTATGCAACAATTCCCGGCAATACAGTAATAAACATTATCCACTGAATCAACTCGTCATTTATGAATACAACTTTGAAGAATCCAGTAGGCAAAATTGACTAAACAATAAAAAAAAAGTTTAGAGAGTCAGCAAATACAAATCCGCAAATGAGAAAAATTTGCGGACACCTACTTGAGTATTTATCAACTGATGTCTATATGAGACTAAAAGTCCCTTTTTCCCAAAAATTAACAGAATAGTTTTATCCGCAAATTTTTTGCGGACAAAAGTATAGAGAGTATCGAGACGCAAATGTCGCAAATTTCGGACAAAATTGTCAGCAAAATTTTTGCGGACAATTAAATTTGTCCGCAAATTTTTTGCGGACAAATTTAATTGTCCGCAAATTTTTTGCGGACAAAACAAAAAAGTTTTGTCCGCAAATAAAGTCTGAAAATTTCGGAGTATAAAGTTTAAGAGTTCAGACCCAAGGATGCAAAAGTCCAAAAGCAATAACCCGGCTAATATCAAGATTTGAGCAATTTTTACCTTGACGAAGGGTACTCTCTTCCTCAGTTTTCCTTTCCCACACCCCTCATCTTTTTTGATTTATAAAAATAATCAAAAAAAGAAAACTCACAAATTCATAAATATATTTATATATAAACAGCATTGTTGGAAATTTTGTAAGTTCTCCAAACATAAAAAGCATCGAACCAAAAAAGGCATGCATTATTCCACAACAGACCCAATCTTCTTCTGAATCGACATCTGCTTGATCAGTTATAGGCCAAAATATTAAAGACATTGAAAAAATTCTAAACTCCTTAAATATTTAAGAAAATATTTTAAAAATTAAGGAATGAAGAGAAAATGATACAGTACTTGTAAAAATGAGACGAAACGTCAAAATAAACATTATGCCAATTTGTTAATATTTTTAGGCTTAAATTTAAGTATTTTGCTAATTTGGATGTATTTTTAAAAATTCATAACTTTCTTATTTCTTGACCAATCTGGATGAAACTAAAACCATTCGAAAGCTTAGAGTCTCTAGTTTATTATTCTAAAAGGATCATGAATAATTGATCAGTGCAAAAGATGTTAGAGCCGTTTAAGTGACGACAATCGTTATTTCTTTTTTAATTTGGAGTCGTTCCTAATGTTATAACTTTTTTTGTTTTTTACCAAACCGAACGTATATTATACCATTCGAAAGCTCAGAGTCTCTAGTTTATTTTAGTTAAAAGACTAAAAATATTTGATAACTTCATAAAAAGTTATAGCCGTTTAAGTGACGACAATCGTTATTTTCCCCTATTTTTACCAATTGAAATCTGCTGGTTTAGTTGGTTAAATTTTTGTTTAAGTTAACATATTTTAGTTTAAGGTTCGATTCTTTTTCAAGTTATTTCATTGTAAAACACTTTATTTTTATTTTAAATAGAGAAAAAAAATATTTTTTATTTAAAAAATATTTGTTTTATTTTTTATAAAATCCTCAGCAGCTTTTATTAATTTTACCAAATCTTTGCTCTTTAAATAAAAACTTTCTCACACATATCCACACATTTTCATGCTACAATTTTTCTTTAAAAACAATCTCGTAGATTTTTTTTATTATTTTTTTTTGTTTAAATCAACTTTTTTCCCATTTCCTTTTTTCTATCAATAAATGTTTGCATCCATTCATTCTACCCAGTCTTTTCTAGGCCAGTCATCCTCAAAGTCAACACATTTTTCGTTAATGCAATACTCCAAGACTTTTCGATACATCGAACACCTTTAGACTTAGCTCGACTAGAACTAGGGTTGCACCCCGAATCCCGAGGGCACGTTTTTCGAAGTGCGTTGGAGTATGACTGACACTAAATTGTGGGCTATTCTGTCAGTCATCCTCCAACGCACTCCGAAAAACGTGCCCTCGGGATTCAGGGTTCAACCCTAACCAGAACCCTAAAATCTTGTCCGAAATTGACTTTACCCTGACTTAATTACCTCCCTTCACAGATTTGCGGTAGACTGGGCTGTGGTAGAGTATAGCCCCATTCCTTCCATCAACCCTTCTACCACCCAATTTTTTTTTTCATTTTCTCTCTCTCCCTTTACCGCTTCCATTAATTTACCAGATTTTCCGTAATCCACACACACAAATAAAAAATTTTTTTTTCTGTTTGCAATTCTCTTTTGTATTTTTATTTTATTTTCCCATTGACTAACCAACAACAACAAACACACATTTTTCTTTTTAATTTTCCGTTTTTATTTTTCTATCCGGTTGATGATATTCCCGTTAGTTTTATAAAATAAATAATATTATGTAACGAGAAAAAGCAGGTTTTTATTTGACGAGCAGTTAAAATTATTTTTAATATTTGGGGGCAAATCATTCAAAATCTCTTCCAAACTAGGTAAAGTCCAAAAGATCGACCTCAAAAAGGTATACGATGAAAAATCTCAAAATAGGTTTGGAGGATCTCGGGAAATTCCGGATCGGATATCCAAATCGAAAATTTCGGGGTATCCGGACTTTTATAGGATATGGATATCCGTATCCGCCTCTATCTCAAAGGTTCCTTTATTTTGTTAGTCTTTTGGGTAAGCTTGGGATTGTATGGGGGAAAGTAGTTGTCTGTTAATTATGTAGAGATGGGAAAAATAAAAATCTCTTCCAAACTAGGAAGAAAATAATCTGAAGAAAATTCGATCTTTCCTTCATTTTAACGGGTAACCTAAAAAAACTACGGATTAACCTATTAAAAATTAAAGGATCCCATAATTACTTACAAATCTCCTCTTCTTTCCTTCTTTTTTGTCTTATTGTTATGCTTACCCTAAAGATCAACATAATAAAAAAATCAACAGATTGAAGATATTTTTGGGATTTTTTCAGAAATTATTTTTTGTAGTAACCGAAAAATTACTTGATCCTCCCCTCACAAGAAACTAGGATAGTAGGTGACTGAGGGTGATTATCCGGCGGTACGACAATTGGGGATACTCACTTGAGGATCTGACATATGAGGACGACAAATGAGGATATGATCTTCCATGTGGGGATCCTCATTAGGAGGACTTGAATTAAAAAAAAATATTTTTTTGTCATATCCACAAGAATGAATGACGATAGAAATGAAAAATAAAAAATTCGAAAGACCAATAAAACTTGGAAGTTCCCCACTTGGAAGACCAGTAAAAAATTCATCTCTTTTCAACGCCGTAGGCGAACATTTTTGAATTTCAGAAGGTCCATTATTTGTTTTTTATTATTATTTTAATCCTCAATTGTCGTCCTCATTTGCCATATCCTCAAGTACGTATCCTCAATTGTCGCAACTCCGAGTATCCTCCTCACCCTGTGGGTGATCACTGAAGGATTTGTTGATCTTTTGGGTAGTATTATTTTTTCTAATTATTATTTTTATTTTTTTTTTTAATATTATTTTTAATATTAAGTACATTGTCTCCTCATTAAGAGGACTTGAATTTAAAAAAATATTTTTTTAATCTACCAAAAATCTTTTTTCTCCCTTCATTATCCTTCCGTTAATCCCACAAAATTTAAAAATAAAAAAATAATTTTTCACAATTCTCGCCTTTATTTTCACACAAATTGTCTTTCTAAATAGCCTTCAACCGCCATTTTTAATATTATCTCCCCCGCGCGCCCACACGCGCTAACCTCTTCAGTCGGCGGTTACTTTAATTGGGAAAGGAGAAGAAAAGACCGCCCTCTATAAAAATTAAAAAAAAAATTTTTTTTTTCAACGATTGATCAGGTTTTTAATTTATTTTGACATGACACACAGCTCTTTTAATGACGAGCTGAAAATAGAAAAATTTTGGAAAGAATTGAAAAGAACGGGAAAGGAAGGAAGGAGTGATTGTGTTTGGCTGGTTGAAGTGTGTGGCGCGCATTAACCCCCTTTTTTTTCTTTTGACCGTCCTTAATTGACTTGATATATTTTAATTATTATTACATGCTTTTGCCCTTTAAAATTTTTAGTTAAAATCCAAAAGATCGATTAAAAAATTTTTTTGATTAAATTTTTATTAAATTTGGGTTAGTCTGACATCACTTAAGTTTACCCCCTTAAGGCTGAAAAATTGTACACAATGTTGACGTGAAATTTTTTTGAAATATTTGGGAGGTACATATTCCTTAGGGTGCCGGAATTTTGGTCACTGGAATTTTGGTCACCACGATTTTTCGGAACTTTGGTCACCAATTTTTTTGGAATTTTGGTCACCAGCGGAATTTTGGTCAAAAAGTTAAAAGCGGAATTTTGGGCACTGAAATTTTGGTCACCAATAGGAATTTTGGTCACCAAACTGAAAAATTTAATTTTATCTTAAACTGATATAAATGTGATAAAATAATGTTTTTCAGCTCCCAGTTGATCAATTTCAATGTTTATCACTTTCCCGGCTGATCACTCTCTCGGGTGATCACTCTCGATCACTCTCCCGGATGATTGATTAACTGGCAGCGTGATCAACATTGAAATTGATCAACTGGGGGTTGAAAAACAATATTTTATCACATTTATATCAGTTTAAGATAAAATTAAATTTTTCAGTTTGGTGACCAAAATTCCTATTGGTGACCAAAATTTCAGTGCCCAAAATTCCGCTTTTTGACTTAGTGACCAAAATTCCGCTGGTGACCAAAATTCCAAAAAAATTGGTGACCAAAGTTCCGAAAATCTTTGGTGACCAAAATTCCGTACACCATTCCTTAAGCATCCACCTAATCAGTGACCACTTTAATGTACAACTCATCTTATTGTTAATGTACGATTTTTAAGCCCCTAGGCGTACACTTTAACGAGATCGACCGTAGATTGGATTAGATTTTTATTTATTTCTGACTGAATTTTAATAATTTTTTTTGTAAAATTTTCTGTAATGTCATCAAAAACTCATCTAAATTTTCTAAAAATTTTTCAAAATTTTTGCAAATTTTTTGAAATTTTTCAAAAATAAATTTTTTTCTTAATTTTCATTCAATTTTCACCATTAAAAATTAGCCAAAAAATTATTCAATTTTCCGCTCTTCGCATAATTCCAAATTAATGCCCGAGGCTTTAGAACTGTCCCATTTTCTCTCCCCAATTTTCTATATTTATTTCCCTAATTTTTCCTCCACTTCCTCTCCCCAATGCGCGCGCAATTTTCATTCAGCTGTCCATTTGAATTATAAAAATAAAATTTATATATTTATTTATTATTTCTTTTAACCAATTTATTTATACATCCAAACCAAATAAAATGATCTAGTTAACCCCATTTAATTTAACTAAAAAATTCACTTTTTTTCTTGTCAGGCGGCAATTTTCTTCTTTCTTAATTGGGTATGTTTGGGCGCAGTGATATTTTTGGCGCGACCTTAAACGGCTACTAAAGATCACCTTTAGGTGTGAAATTTTTCACAGATGCACCCAATAGTGTTTTCCAACTTGTCTAAAAATTTGAAATTTTTTGGCTTAGTATTTATGGGGTTACGGTAGAAAATGTTGATTTTTGGAAAATAGCCTATTTTCTTGAGTTTTTCGCCCATAACTTTAGAGATACTGAATCAAAAATTTTTAAATTTTTAACAGAGATAGAGATCACTATTGAGGATATACTCACCAAATTTCATATCTCTAAGTTGCCCCAATGTGTCAATACAAGCGTTCGCGCCAAAAATATTACCGCGCCCAAACATGCTTAATCGACCACAACGCAATTAATTAAAACCTGCGAACAACCGCCACCCATCTTTCTCTTTTTCTAAAAATTAACATCATTTATTTTATTGAATTGTTCTTTTTTAAGGTTTTTTAGTTTCTTTAAACAACGAAAAATGAAGAAAATAAGGCAACGAATCAGCCGTGTATTGGGTGGTAATAATATTGTTGTTGAGCAACAACAAGAAAGAAATATAACCCCAACAATATCAGAAATTGGAATAAATAATAATTTTAGTCTTCGTTCTAATAGAGATACAGAAACGAATAAAATGAAATCAAAGTGAGGAAGGAAAAAATTTTTTGGGTCGAAAGCTTTCTTGTGACCCTGCACCCTGTAGGGGAGTCACTGACTGTTTAGAGAAGAGGAAAGTTGCGTCTTTGAGTCGGACCGACGTTCGAGGCATTTTTTCGGGCATCTTTTTATCGAACCTGGCCATAAGAGTCACTTTAGGACAAAATATCCTATGCTCGAATTTATCTTTTGGACCGTGTCGGTCCATTCCGGCAACCCTAGACGTGAGTCACTCATTCATTCATGCCTTATTATAAAAAAAATTTTAAATTTATTTAAGGCCTTTCCGGTCACTCATTTCATATTAGCATTTAAATAAATTATTAAATAAATTTATTTTCCTCCCATAGGTATCGTTGGAGCCTGTCAGATTCCCTTTCGCAGTTGGGTGAGAGAATTGCGGAAATGACTGTTGAAGAGGAAGGACCTAGTAATCGAGTACAGCCTTGTCAACAACAAAATTGTGTTAGAGAAGAGGGGAATAATGTAAGGAAAAAGTTTATACTGTATTCTAATAAACGCCTAGGGCTTTAACTTCTTATGAGGATTTGGCTGGGTGGGCTTATTTTGGAAAGCTGAGATTGGGCGTCTATTGGAATATTGGAGGAAATTTCATAATTTTTCATCAAATATTTTTGAGGTTGTAGTCAATAAACCTCGAAAACTTAGGCTTTTTATGGAAAACAAGTCAATACAAAATATTACCAAAAAATAATCAATTTACCTACTATTTTTAGAAAACCCAGTTAAATAATTCCTCATCAAATACAATAGAAGAAAAACATCCACAAATTACTTTACGTTCAAAAAAGCGTCAACAACAGCAACACCCTCAACCCTCCCAACAACAACAAAATTCTTCCTCCTCCTCTTCCTCTTCTAGAACAAAAAGTTGGCATGCCCCCCGTTGGTTTGGAAGTTTCTCAACTTCCTCCATAACAACAATAAATGGAAGGCTTGGATCTGACGGTGAAAGTGCTGCTGAAGTGTCTCCAAGTTCTTCTGGAGAAACAACAAATTCTTCTTCAACATCCCCACATTCTAGAATTACGGCTATTTATGTGCCTAATGTTAAATTGAGGAAGAAAAAAGGAGGAAATAATAATGGCCCAATGGCTACAGCTAATAATAATAATTCTGCTGCTGATAAAGGAGGGGAAGGGAGAAGATTGGAGGTGGGGTATTTTGATTGTTTTAAGGGGTTTGGTTACTGTACTCTTATATCTCTCTCGATGATCGTTTCAATGCCGATCTTCGAACCTCACTAATATAGGAAACCCAATGCTAGATACTTCTATTAGATAAAGTGCTGAGTTACATGGTTCAAAATAGTCAAAACCCATGGGGTACAAAGGTTAAAAATGGTCAAAACCCATCCATAGTCAAAACCCGAGGGTTCAAAATGGTCAAAACCAACATTCAAAAGAGATCGACGAGCTGTGTCGTGTCTATAATTTGTTTGGCTATTGGGTGGGCGACTTTTTTTCATTTGGGCGAAGGAACTAAACGATACCTACAATTTAAAATGCACCCTATTATACCTTTAAGTGAGGCCCGACGTTATTGGAAACCCCATAACTTGGGGAAAAAATACGGTAAAGGAAACATAAGAGTACTTAATAAAAATATTTTTCAATTTTAAAAATTCTCCTTCAGGCAGAAATCCAAAAACGTCTTTCACTACCCGCCTATATAAACATCCCTCAATGTGTTGTAGAAAATTTGAGTAGAATCCCAGCAGTCGAAAACCCAATAAGCAGAAAATGTCGCCGAGCATCCCTCAACGAAATTGGTTTTGGGAGAGCCGAAACCTACAAAAAAATTTTTGATTTGGGGGAAGGAACTTACGCAACCGTTTATTTGGGGCAAAGTTTATTAACTGGGAGAAGTGTGGCAATGAAAGAAATTCGGTTAGAACATGAAGAGGGGGCGCCGTGTACAGCGTAAACCTTAAATTTTGGGAATTTAATTCAAGTTTTAAATTAAAGGATTAGAGAAGTTAGTTTGCTCAGAAATTTGAAGCATGCTAATATTGTTACATTGCATGATGTCGTACATACAGACAGGTGGATATTATTTAGATTAATTCGGCCAGAGACTCCCTTTGGAGCCCCCCTCTTAAGAGACACCTCCTTCCTCTTAAGAGACACCTCCCCCTCGGAAGAGACACCTCCTCCCTCTTAAGAGACACCTCCTCCCTCTTAAGAGACACCTCCCCCCTCTTGGGAGACACCTCCTCCCTCTTAAGAGACACCTTCTCCCTCTTAAGAGACACCTTCTCCCTCTTAAGAGACACCTCCCCCCTCTTGGGAGACACCTCCTCCCTCTTAAGAGACACCTTCCCCTCTTAAGAGACACCTCATCCTTCTTAAGAGACACCTCCTCCCTCTTAAGAGACACCTCCTCCCTCTTAAGAGACACCTCCCCCTCTTAAGAGACACCTCCTCTCTTAAGAGACACCCCTTCCTTTTAAGAGACACCCTCCTTTCTCTTAATAAACTTCACCACCTAAGGTCTTCCTTCTTTATCATGCTAGATATCCTCAATTTAGGGTAATTTTCCCAATTTTTGGTCGGCCTCAAGGGATGGAGAGGTTCACTATTATGCGATTTTTAGTCCCAATGGGGTATCTAATTATGAGGATTGACTACATTTTTAATTCTATCTTATGTTTTTCAGTGTTTTAACACTCGTTTTTGAATTTGTTGAGCAAGATTTACGAGAATATATGGAAGAACTCGAAACTTTAATGTCCATAAGAAACGTCCAACTTTTTGCCTTTCAATTACTCAGAGGGCTCTCCTATTGCCATTCTAGAAGAATTTTACATAGAGATTTAAAACCTCAAAATTTACTTGTGACTAAAGGAGGAGAACTTAAATTGGCTGATTTTGGGTTGGCTAGAGCACAATCTATACCTACTAAAAGTTACTCGAGTGAAGTTGTTACTCTGTGGTATAGACCTCCAGATGTCTTACTTGGTAAAGAAATTATCGTTTATTATAGAGGGAGTCTCCAAGTTATCACCCCTTGTTGACTTGTACCATCAAATTTGTGAAAATCTCTATGTTATCATAATTTTCCGACTTATACCGCAATTTGAAATAACAGGGTGATGTTTGAAAGATCACCTTATACTGTATCTATCAGGGATATGGCAAATCCACTAACGTTTTTTGGGACAGAAATCACAATTCTCGAAATCGTGAATTTTAAAAAATGGCATTTCCCGAATTATAGGATTTATTTTTCGTCGACTAGGTCCTTGGTATACACTCGTTATATTACCCTTATCAATCTAATTTAATTGATTAAAAGATACGGTAGACGGAAAATAGCCTTTATTTCAATGTGTCCACCGAAAATTTTTATAAGGCCTTAGGGTTTGTATATATGTAAATTCATAGGATTTGGAGGTGATATGATTGAGACGGTAGTGCGAAACTTGCGGACCGACTTTTGCGGACCAGGGGTTTATGTTTTTGTTTTTCTATCGTAACTTTGTCCAAGCTTGTACAATCACGATGATTTTGATGTCATTCGACTCAGCTCGTCGAGCTCTTTCGAATGAGCTATGTTTCGAGAAATTCCTCGGGTCCGCAAGTTTTTGTCCGCAAAAGTCGGTCCGCAAGTTTCGGCCAGCCATTGAGATTCATTTAATTTGCTATAATAGGATTAAATATGTCATTCGAGATTTACTATAGTCTCCATCGGTGTTTCCCTGAGGGGAAATTCAAAAAACATTTTAAAGACATTTTATCCCACTTACATTTATCCTTAATTTTAAAAATTCCTTATTTTAAAGGTTCAACAGAATATACAACACATATAGATATGTGGGCTGTTGGTTGTATAATTTATGAAATGTTGACAAACCTCCCTTTATTCCCTGGAAGTTCCCCAACAGAGCAATTAAAATTAATTTTTCAAAAATTGGGAACTCCAAATTCAGAAACACACCCAGAATTGAGAGAATTGCCCGGATTCAAAAAATGCAGAAATTTTCGGCAGCATTCCCCAAAATGTTTAATTTGCCTTCCAAGATTGGATACAATTACTGTTGATTTATTATTGAAATTGTTAAAGGTTAATTTTAATAAAAAGGCCGTCGCACTAGATTAAGCCTATAGGGGCCGCTTCCGTAGTAGGGTTGGGGGTTTCGAGCCGGGCCGACGTTCAAGTCTATTCGGGCCTCATTTCTATCGGACCAGACTGACTGAGTCATTTTCGAGAGTCTCTTTCGGACTTCATTTTTATCGGGCCGGCCCGATAGTCTTTTTCGGACCAAAATTCGATGCCCGACTCGAACTTCGAACCGGACCGGGCTCCAACCCTATTCCAGAGGCGAGTTACCCTTAGATCTCTTTTAGTATTGAGATCTAAAAGGAACTTTAAAATAAATATTATGCAGAAATTTTAGAAAATTAACACATGCCAAAAGTCAAAAATAAAAATTTCGCCAGAAATTAGAAAAATAAACATTACGCCAAAAAATTAAACAATAGACATTATGCCAAAAAAAATAAAAAAATTTTAATTTTCAAAATTTTTTAGTACGATGGAAATAAAAGAATTGGAGCAGTTAAAGCAATGAGACACCCATTCTTTCAAGACTTTCCTGAACAATTGTTTAGGCTTTCAGACAAAGTAAGCGTAAGACACTTGTTTTATTAAATCTGTCTGTGATGTTACATTGAGAACCAACATCCCCGAGTGTAGAAGAAAATTCCTGGGAAATCTTAATGAGTAGCCGGTCTAGGTACAGGTTATCCCAAACACGGACTTTTGTCGATCCGAAACCAGATTCGAGGAAATCGAGGAAATCCATCCTAATGAGTACCTGAGAACTCTCATCCTCCCCCAACACTAATAAATTTTCATTTGTTTTAACCACACTAAGACACAGATACTGATTTTGGTATCCGTATCCGGTTATTTACGGCGGATACAGACGGATATCCGCAAGCATTTTTATAATATCTGTATCCATATCCGTATCCATGTCCTAGTCTGGTTTAAACGTTTCCCCTACATATGCCCTCTCCCCATTCACTTCTAATAAATTTTATTTGTAGGAATCAATTTATTCAATACCTGGAATCTCTTTTATTTCGGATAAAAAATTTCGTCCAACTGTAGTAGATGCACTTGCTTCTACTCAACGTTTAATTACTACCGATATTAATATTTCCTGAATATTTTTTTTCTTTAAAAATAATTTTACATCTTACCCAAAATTTTTTAAAATTTTTATTTTACAAAAAATGAACAACGAAAGACAAAAATTTTTTGTTTTGATTTTTTAAAATTTTTTATATTGCATTTTATATACATGTATTTTTTAAATAAAAAAATTTTGTAAATAAATTTAAAATTTATTTTTTCTTAAATTCTCCTTTACTTGCGCACCAACGAACGAGCCGTCCCGGGAACCAGGGAACGAGCCGTCCCAATTCCCGAAAATCGGGAATTCCCTACGTTTTTTGGGCCGCGAATCATGATTTCACGAAATCGGGAATCTATTCGCGGTAATTCCACTCGGCCTCGGTTTCGAGGCTGTGAAATCGGCGAGGCCTCGACTTCGTGCTACTCTAGTTTTAACTAAAATGAAAGCATTAATTATCTTTTGCTTGTAATTTTTTAAACAATGTTTTAAAAATATTCTGACGTAAATATGTACTTTATTAAAAGGTTGGCAACCTTGTTTGTTTGGCAGCTAAAACTTTAATAAAATGAAAGCATTAATTATTCTTATAATAATTAAATATTAAAAAAAATTTTTTTTGTTTGTCTATAATGACATTAAATAAATATAACAGGTGAAAATTTTTTAAAATTAATTAGACGACATTTACTTTATAATAAATATTTTAAAAATTTTTTCACTGAAAAAATTCGTAAAGCAGTCACTTCATAATTATAAAATGTCCAATTTAATTGATATTTTATTTAAATTTGATTTTTGGGGGAGTTTATTACTTGGTTTCCCTCTAAACATTATTCTGATTATTTTAATTATTTTTACAACACCAAAAGAAATGAAAACACACAGCAGAATTCTGATACAAAATTGTGTTTTGGATATTTTGTTATTAACATTTCAAATGTTAATACAAATGGTAAAACTTAAACCAGAATTAAATTAGAACATTTAATATAAAATGGAAGGGTAGGGGGAGGTGTATGACGAACATGGGGTAAATGATTAACATGTAGTAAATGATGAACCTGCCTCAATTCTCACCGGGCAATTTGTAGTAAAATTTGTAACCACACAAAAATTTGTAGAAATAGGAGAAAGCTCACTCGAGAGTATTGTCCAAAATTTTTACACAACTCCTCAGCTTTGTAACTGCTACATAAGAGCGGGCACTTCTAAGATTCATGATTTTATTTGTTCTTTGTTTATTTCTAGGGTTGGTCCCAGTCAGGAGGTAAGGGCCACGGGGGGGGGGGGATTTTTATTTTATCACGCGGGAGGGGGGGGGGAGGGGAGGGTAGCGAGGGAGGGGAACAATTTTTACGGGGGTTTAATAACGAATCATAGTTTTCGGTAGTATATAGAGCATATTGCTTTTTAGAAGGACATTGATAATTTCCGGGAAAAACCCAAAAATTTAAGAACAGAATTTAAAAACAATCGTAAAACATCTGTTTAAGTTTTATATAACCGACAAGGATGGAAATGCACTTTTTATCTTTACTGACGGGATTCTGGTTTATCTAATGAAAGAAAGGTTTAAGCCATTATTTTTCTATTATATTGTGATTATTTTGCAATTTATTTATTATTTAAATACTGATGGATTATGTGTTCAATTCATATATAGATATTTAATTTTAAACAGGTAATTAACGATCAGAGGTGGGTCGGAACAGTCGGAGGTTCGGAACTTTTTTTCGACACCTCAGAACAGGCAGAGGTGTCGGAACTTTTTTCCGACACCTCGGAACAGGCAGAGGCCAACTCTGTTAACGATAAACATGTTTATCTTAAGTTCCGATTTCAGAAACATGAAAATTGGCTTTCGTCGATATTCTTATATGTTTTCGGTTGCTCTAATAATAAATCTATTTTATGTTTTATATACTAATTTTTTTATTATGCCATATTCTGGCGGAGGTGTTAAACAAATTGTGGATGATAATTTTAATGAAACATTGCCATACTTTCTATCTGAAATGAATGACGTATTTTTAAATTGTTTTTAAAAATAATTTTTTATAAAAAGGTTGGGATCTCGGGAATTGTAATATCAGTTTTCATTGAAATTATACCATTTTTTATAATATTTTTCTGTGCAATTGAAATGATTAGATACGTTAATTCAAATGCCATATTTGATGAAAATATGAAAAGATTGTTTAGACAATTAACAAAAACATTAATATTTCTGGTATGTTTTAAATTAATTCTGGTATGTTTTAAATTAATTCTGGTATGTTTTAAATTAATTCTGGTATGTTTTAAATTAATTCTGGTATGTTTTAAATTAATTCTGGTATGTTTTAAATTAATTCTGGTATGTTTTAAATTAATTCTGGTATGTTTTGAATTAATTCTGGTATGTTTTAAATTAATTCTGGTATGTTTTAAATTAATTCTGGTATGTTTTAAATTAATTCTGGTATGTTTTAAATTAATTCTGGTATGTTTTGAATTAATTCTGTTATCTTTTGAATTAATTCTGGTATGTTTTAAATTAATTCTGGTATGTTTTAAATTAATTCTGGTATGTTTTAAATTAATTCTGGTATGTTTTAAATTAATTCTGGTATGTTTTGAATTAATTCTGGTATCTTTTGAATTAATTCTGGTATGTTTTAAATTAATTCTGGTATGTTTTAAATTAATTCTGGTATGTTTTAAATTAATTCTGGTATGTTTTAAATTAATTCTGGTATGTTTTGAATTAATTCTGGTATCTTTTGAATTAATTCTGGTATGTTTTAAATTAATTCTGGTATGTTTTAAATTAATTCTGGTATGTTTTAAATTAATTCTGGTATGTTTTAAATTAATTCTGGTATGTTTTACATTAATTCTGGTATGTTTTAAATTAATTCTGGTATGTTTTAAATTAATTCTGGTATGTTTTGAATTAATTCTGGTATGTTTTAAATTAATTCTGGTATGTTTTAAATTAATTCTGATTTTTTAAAACATGCTTTAATAATTTATAATATTTAGGCTGTTGTTCCTTTCGTAAAACATGCAACAACCTTAATTCTTATATACTTTGATTACACAGACAACAATATGCCCAACATTATTCGTATACTAATTTTTGTTTGGTTCCATTTTACCCCTGTAATTAACCCAATTATTTGTATTTTAACAAACACTCCATATCGAAATGCTGTTTTTAAAAATATAAAAATATTTCCACAATAATTTTTAACATTTTTATATTTTATTTAAATGAACTATTTTAAAGTAATTTTAATGTAAAATAAAAGTATTTAAAATTTTTAATGTCAAAATGATTATAAGATGATTTATTTAACGTGTAGGATATGGTTGTCGGATAGTTGGAAATCTTCGAATATCCGTCTACAATATCCGAACCGAAACTTTTAGGGTGGCGTTTGCTAGTATAATAGGTGAAGCATTTTAGTGTTGTCAGTGTGCCAATTAATGATCGGCCACACGGCAAAATCAAATATTTGATCAAATTATTTCCGGTTCCCGGAACTTCCGGTGAAACTCTAGTATGTACTCTAGTAAGAGGGATAATCTCCGAATATATTTATTTGGTGATATAACTAGTGTTCGGTGTCTGCCATTTGTTAGCTCCCGTTCCGACTTTCTTCAAGCCTTATCTTCGGTTCGGTATGTACCGTATTTTCTCGATTAATTCCTCGATCGAGGAAGGGGAATTATTCGAGTTTTGGCATTTGAACTATTGTTCGGCAAATGGATTTTTTCGGTACCGGTACCGGGAGTACCGAAAAGTACCGGTACCGAACGAGTACCGAAAATTCCAAAATTTGTTCGGGACGGTTCCGGTACCGGGAGTACCGAAAAGTCCCGATACCGAAAAGTACCGAAGAAAAATTTTCGGGAGTACCGCGGTATTTCGGTACTGACAAAAAATGAAATATTATCTCAAATATCACTGTTTAAACGTTATCTCACTAAATTAGATCAATAAAAAATTTCCAAATCTAATTTCATGAAATGATTACGCTTTATACATAACATTAATCTAGCTAAGGGATTTTCAGGATATCGTGGAATTATGAACGATTAAGGGGGGATTATGAACAATACAGTGGGATTTTATTAAGGGATTGGTGATTAATTCACGATATCACACAGGTTTTTATTCTTTACAGGTTTAGTCATGGGATATGAAAGAGTAAATGGATTTGGAGGAATTAATGAGGATATTGTTGGATTAAGCTCGATATCATCTTCCCAGTTTTATCTCACCAAATCTTGTGATATCTCTGTTACTCAAATCTCCTGATATCCCTCCAAATCTTCTCATCCACCAATATCATCCCTAATCTCATCAAATCCCTCATTATCATCTTGATTTCCTTTAGAACCCTGATTAATAAGGTTGGCGAACAGTTGGAAATCTTCGAATATCCGGATCCGGAACCGAAATTTTTATTTTAAGAATTTTCGCCTGCGACGCTATAATATTGAGTCCCAATTTTGTGAA